TGCAGCTACTAGTTACAAAAGGGCGCCTTCCCCTTCTCGGTTTGGAGAATCTGGAGATCATGAGAATTGTTTCTGATTTAATCTTTGTTTTTCAGTTAATTTACGGCCATGTCGAAATCGACTTAGATTCAAGGAAATTGTTAGATTTCGGGCTCAACTCAGTCTGCACTCAGTCTAACGGCTTGAAGCTTCTTCCTCGGCTAGCAAAAAAGGTGCCCCATGCCCACACGTGGACCCGGACGCTTCTAAACACCTGATTCTGCTCGTGCATGAGTAAGGAACATTGCCATAAAGTTTCAGCTTTCTAGCTTTTCCCGCTCCGTGGGCTTCTTTAGTGCGCGAATAGCGAATGTACCGAATAATTTGCCTTTGGAACTCGTTCATGCTCATCTCGTTGGAAAATTCACTTGGACCGTAGCCCTGCTTTGTGGCCTCTCCTTCGCTGATGCTATACGTTAAGATGGTAAATTTCCACTACGCTGATCTTAAACGCTGTGAGTCTTCGCTGTGCTCTTGTGTCTTTTGTGTTTTGTTTCTAATGTACCAAGCGCATGAATGTGTGTACGCAAGTATATTTGTGTCCTGCTTGGCGGTTGAATAAAATGTGAATGTAAATGTAAACATTATTTTCCTGTACCAGCAATATTTCTACCTCTTGCATTACATAGTTCGTTCTACTCTTGCCTTCTTTCTTAAGTTCTTCATATTACTTTCATGCTGCAGTCATGCGATAATCAGATTAGGCTTGCCCACCGGGAAGGGTCCAGACAAGAAGGTCCTTTGTCCACAAAGTTTTTTCAGACAATAAAAAAGGAGATTACGGATCAGACTAAGTAAAGCATGTGCAAAACTTTGTATTTAGACGTGGTTGAGTGGAGCAAGGGAGTCCGTAGGGTAACAGGCCATGAATCGAAGAGTCCAGAAATAATGAAAATGAGATGTTCGATTCCCTTCAGATCCATACTTTTCGCAAAAGCGGCTTCGTTCGCCGACAAATTTT